TTAAAGTATACGACCCCTACACTAAGTTAAATTTATAACGGTGTTTACAATTTACTGTCAGTTCATATCTTTGATTTAAGAGATCAGCCTTGTTTTTAAATCTAATAATTTCAAATTTTTCATTAAGGCATAGGTAACATGGGGTATATAGGGAGTTACAAGTACGAGCTTTCGTAACCAAACTCCATTTAATCGTAGGTGTTTTGTTCTTATCTTTTTAGATTCCAAAAAATACTTGGATAATGAAGTCATGTACCTATATTCACTGTGATTAAAGGATTGCATATGCCCCGCCAGCGTTCCTTGAATGTTTTCATAGTAGAACCAATGTAAAACTTCTTTATATTTGGATTTTCAATTGTTGAAATAGTACCAAGATAGACTACAGAAGTAATCCCACAGTTATTTTGTAGTGGACAATTATTCGATTCCTACAATTACATAAGTTGTTATTTGTATTCTTATAATTAGTATTGCAGTTAGTAACCTGTTGATTAGTCAAGCCTTTTGAATTCCTATACTTGTTAAAGACTATGTTGTTATGTTTTTAATTATCTGCTCTAGGTTATCAGCACAACTATAGCTTAATTTAAGGGTATTAGGATTAAATATTTTACTAAGTGGGTTAGTTTCAGGTTTGGGGAAATGTTTTTTGATTAGGTTAATAAATATACGCCCTAACTTAGTTTTGACCATAACATTGAAAGGGGGGAGGAACCAAATAACCTTTCTAGATCTTCTTTTTCTTATTATGGTTGCAATTAACAGGGTTTTTATATTGAATAGTGGTATTTTTGTATCCACTATTTTTTAGTGCAGAATTATAAAAATCACTATGTTTATTGAAAACCTCCTTATTATAAGAGTTAGCGCTAATTCTAAATTCAATGGAAGTGGGTATATGTTTGATAACCGAAGGGGGATGGTTGGAATTAGGATGCACGTATAATGGGTTGCAGCCCCTCAACCTCCGACGTCTTACTCTCTGGGTTGAGGTGTCTGCTCGGTCTTAACCGAACTTAAGGGAATGCCCGTAGGTCCCCTGAGCATCCGTAGATCATTCGACGGGTCCACTGGTTTAATCCTGCTTCCTGCCCACGTTGTGTCTGGTTTGATCCAGAAAGCAGAAGTGATGTTCGTCAAATTCACGGTCGACTGAAGATGTAGACACGACTGGAGAGTCGGTGCTAAGAAATTTAGAATGCACCAAAATATATATATATATATCTGCAGAAAGCTGAACAAACAACTATTCAATAATTGAATTGTTAATGTTTTTATATAGCAGAAAAGAATAGTATAGAAAAGAAACGGGTTACAGAAAAGAAAAGTAATTGACATAAAAACTCATACACTGGATTCTAGACAGAGAGAGAGCGTGGGTTGTGATTAACTTGTTGTTAAATCGCCTCAGAACGATATACGATTCTTGCGATGGAGAGATAAAGATTTCTGTGCGCGGCTTAAAGTTTATAGTTGCGGTCCTCCTCGGCAGTAACAGTAGTAGTAATCTTCGTGGTAGTAGAAGCAGCGGTACTTATATTAACAGTACATGTTAGCGGGGGTTTTGTTCCAATTCCTGACGTCACTTTCAATCTCCGATATCTCTCCACCCAGCTCAACTACACTCGACGACAGACGAGCCCCAAAACAACCTTTTGATTATTGTAGCTTGTTTGACGTTTCTATTTCCAGTAGTAGTAATAGTAGCAGTAGCAGTCTTAGATGATGGAGGAGTAATTCGCTTCTTCGTACTTAGATCAACAAAATATGTTAGCCGGCGTTTGGTTCCAATCTCTGACATCACTTTCAATCTCCGATCTCTCTCCACCCAGCTCGACTGCACTCGACGGCAGACGAACCAACCACTCTGTCAACAGATTTCTGTGCACGTTTATGTAGATAAACCTGGCTGATCATAAATCGACCCTTGGCCCGCACACGATTATCACGGTTGCCGCTTTCAACCCAAAATCATGTGAATTTCAAAGTTCCCCATAACTTTAGTAAGCTCTATTTCAAATTTTAACCGATAAAAATTATTTCGATCATTTTCCATTGACTTTCTAATGACCCAATTCCAAATTGGCTAGATCAGATTTTCCATCAGTAAACAAAATTGCTCTGATCTAATTTCGCTACCCAGAATCACTCCAATTTCAATAAAAAAATATATACGTGTGTTTGTGTGTTTCATAGACTCTCTCTGTTACACACACACACACACACACATATATATATATTATAAATTAATTGATTTAAAATATGTTTTTTTCCGCTACACTGTTCTAACCATGTTTCAAAAATGGAAGCTAAAAGCCACGAATTTAATTTTGTGATTAAATTAAAGACATTAGTTCCATTTCATCCTCAAGCGAATTTAGTGTGGATGGTCCTACACGAGGCCTTCACCACTATAATCAAATCTCATGTGCCGGTGTCGGGCTGTCGGTTTCCTGGAAACTGATCTGCTTGACCCTCATACGTCGAATCTCGACGGGAGAGTCGATTTTATATATATATATATATATATATATATATATATATATATATATATATATATATATATATATATATACTCCGTCTTTTCTCTCTCTCTATCTATATATATATATATTTTAAGCAGCATATTTTTTCATACAAGCATATTTGGTTAAATAATATAGACTTATTATGTCTATTTATTTTAGTTTTAATCTTTTCAAGTCCACGAATTAATTTCTTGGTGGCTGTAGAAAATTGATTAAGAAAAATTCCAAAATTTTCTTCCAAATAATCTTTATTTTCCCAAGAACTTTCAATTTCATTTGAGGCCATCTTCAGGGGGTTCCATATCTATGGATGTGTTAGGCGTTAACACTGTAAATTCAAAATATTTGTTTAACTCTGTGCAAGGGAGCTAACTTATGTGATTTTTGTAAAAAGATTTTTAAAGAAATTAAAGATTTTTTTAAATATAGTATTTTAATTTAGTATTTTTATATAACACTTTTCTGCTACAAACATTTAAGAACTTTATTGCTATACTCATAGTTGACTTTATTTATGTTAATATAAATAAAAATGAATATAATACATCCTCAAATAACTGTAAACATATCAAACTACTGTAAGCAAATGCATTCGAACTATAAGCAGGAAGAAAAAAATTCTAAATAGAAAAACTCATAAACACTAATATATCCCCCGCTAAACCAAGAAGAAGAAAAGAAGCCTGACACTCCCACACCCCCACTCTCACGCTACTTTTAACTTAATATTTATATTTTCATCGACTGCCTCCTACTTCCTTTCTTTTGTTTTTCTCTCTTTCTTTTTCCTTTTTTTTTTTTTTCTACCGGCCTGAATCTTGTCAGAAAAAATATGCGTCCCCCGGTAGAATTCGAATCTGCATCCCCTATGGGGAACCGTCATTGGATGTTACGTGCGTAATCGCTCGGTCACGCAGACTTACGTTAAAACAAAGTCCGAATCGCCCCTCTTGAACGCACACTCTCTGCCGATTTTTGAAATATCCAAATCTTCTCTAACGTGAAGACAATTGATTTTTAGGAAATGGCCTAAATCCGACATATTTTTTTCTGACAAGATTTCGGGAATATTCAGGCCGGTAGATGTAGTTGGATAAAAACAAAAAATACCGTTTAATTAAAAAACAGGACTTCTACTCGAAAATGAGTATCCGTAAAATATAACATTGAAACAAAATAAATTAAAAATATAAAAAAAATATGTCGGATCTAATCCATTTCCTATATATATATATATATATATATATATATATATATATATATATATATATATATATATATATATATATATATATATATATATAAAATAAAACAACTTGCTCACTACAAAGATGCATATGAACAATTCAGTTTACAAACAAGTTTTTTTTTTTTCATAAGCAGCTTCCTTGTAAATAGAATTGTTCATAAGCATTTCGGGTCCTCACCATTCGAGATGCAGCTGTATCGAAACACAAATTGAATCTTTGTAATGAGAAAGTTGTATTTGTCCGTATAATTATAATAAATAATTATTGCTGTACTCTTGGTATTGGTCCCTCTTTTGAATTAATGCTGTGAACGTTAGAATTTATATTATTTTTGTTCTCATTACATTCGGATATATATATATATATATATATATATATATATATATATATATATATATATAATAAAAAGGCTTAAACACTAATATTTTATGGTCATAATTTATTCCTTATTATTATATCCTTACTCTGTCCTGGACATTGAGTTCTACCTGGATTCTAAAGAATTAATGGATTTATTTTTTAATCCGCCATTTTTAATCCTTCGCCATTATTAGCGGATACTCGTATTTGAAATAGACGTACTATATTTATTTTTGTTTTAAACTGTATGTATTATGTTTATCAGCCTTCGAATCCCGGAAATCATAATATAGACTATATATATATATATATATATATATATATATATATATATATATATATATACACGCAGACAATATATCTACACGCAGACAGCATCATGATACATTAATAATAATAATAATAATAATAATAATAATAATAAAAATAATAAAAAGTAATAATAATAATAAAAGAAGATGATGAAGAAGAAGACGAATGATAAAAACTAATTGTCAACACGTGAAAAGAACGGTTTCTAACCACAATAAAATTACACTAAAGAACCCGACCTATATGTGTAACTAATCTCTACAAGCATCCGCTAACGACGAATAAATAAAAGACAGTAGTAAAAAGACATGTTGCTCGCACCCTTTCGGGCAAATTTCTAATCAGAAATCCTTAACAAAATGAGGTCGGAGGTTTCACCTATTGGTTGTTTAGATAAATGTCAAAAATGACCAACGAATGTGTTTTGTTCTGGGCCCTTGCTCTGGATAATTAAAAAGTAAAGGAATCTAGGGGTCAACCCAAGGGAATTAGGTGACCTATTCCAGGCAGTCCCGGCCCTTAAGATTTAGAGAAAGGCTTTCACAGTTTATTCTGAGAAAATAGAAAGCACCGATGAAAAGGTCAATGGTGCACAGCAGGGAGAGAGAGAGGAGAGAAAGTAAACTTTTTTATTTGTTACTAAGAAGGCATCATACTCGAACGAAGAACTAGCTGAGACTCAAGGGCTCGTAAAACAACCATATTACTGACTACGAAGGGTTCTCCTGTTTCAACGTCTTTATTTATAACCCCAAAAGATAATTTCGTTTTTAGTGCAAAAAAAAAAAAATGATTCCGAGGAACATTCTCGTAGGTAGTTTCAAACCTGTAAACCAAAGTCTGACGAATTGAGGCCATTTTTATAGACCTCCATGAAATAATTATCACCTATGGTATTTTAAGTATGGTATTTCATTATATATATATAATGAATATATATATATATATATTATACTATATATATATATATATATTATACTATATATATATATATATATATATATATATATATATATATATATATATATATATATATATATAATACTATATTATATATATATTATACTATATTATATATATATATTATATATATATATATACTATATATATATATATATATATATATATATATATATATTATAGTAAAAAAGAAAGAACAGTAAGATATATAATTGATTTAATTATATAAATGAATTTGAAGTTTAGTTTCCGAAGTATAGGATCCAATCTTTCGACTTTCTTAAGGATACGTAGAGATATATATATATATATATATATATATATATATATATATGTGTGTGTGTGTGTGTGTGTGTGTGTGTGTGTGTACATATATATATGTGTGTGTGTGTGTGTGTGTGTGTGTGTGTGTGTGTGTGTGTGTTATTTTAGTTTATTTTGTTTAAACTTTTTTTTGATGGATACTCATATTCGAGTAGAAGCCCTGTTTTTTTAATTAAACAGTATTTTTTTATCCAACTGCATCCACACGTACCCTGGAAAAAGGACGTGTTTAAAATGAAAATGCAGTGCATACATGGAACTTACATAAATAAATATTTATTTATTCATTTTAATCAGTGAGTGCGTTTTGCGCCTTTGTGGTCATCACTCCCCGTCCATCTCATGGTGACATTCAAGGCAGAATAGTACAAAGGCTTGCCAGTTCCTTTTGCAACAGGGATGTTGAGCTCTCAGATGTAGATTTGTCTTTGAAATTACTTCCTTCTCGCTTTTGCGTCAAGAAATAGATCCTACAAGGCAGCAGGTAGTTAGCATTCAGAGTTTCTTTCTCCTAGACTGGTTGTCAGTCAAGGCTATGAGACCCAGTCTGTCCTGTTATTTTACCTATAGCTGGAGGAGAAGAAATAGATTCATACCTTTCCCAAAGGTATTAGCACGTAAGCGAATGTACTGAAGCCGACAAGAATTGGTACACGGCTTTCAGATTCCTCAATTCGCGTCGCTAACCATTAACCCACTGTGGATCCATTACATGGAAATCAGTCAGTCAGTTATGTGCCATGCGTGATACACGCTTAGGCGATCGTATATCATTCGATACATGACTGACGAGGCAGTTTTTTTCTCCTGCAGTAGGTTGCCATTTCTTTCTGCGGTAGACCAGTTGCCATCCAAGGCTATAGAACCGATCTGCCCTGCTATTTACCCATAGCTGGGGGGAGAAGAAAAGGAGTCATACCTTACCCAAGGGTATTAGCACGTAAGTGAATTTCAGTCAGTCATGTGCCATGCGTGATACACGCTTAGGCGATCATGTAGCTTGCAATTTCTTTCTTCGGTAGGCCAGTTGCCATCCAAGGCTATAGAACCGATTTATCCTTAGCTTGGGGTGGGGGATAAGAAGAGGATTCATACCTTTCCCAATGGTATTAGCACGTGAATTTCAGTCAGTTATGTGCCATGCGTGATACATGACTGACGAGGCAGATTTTTCTTTTCCGCAGGAGGTTGCCATTTCTATCTGCGGTAGACCAGTTGCTATCCAAGGCTGTAGAACCCTGTCTGTCCTTGGTGGTTGGAGAAGAGGAGGATATGCTTGTATGAATAATATGCCGCCTAAAGATATATATATATATATAGAGAGAGAGAAAGAGGGAATATATATATATATATATATATATATATATATAGATATATATATATATATATAATCGACTCTCCCGTCGAGATTCGACGTATGATAGTCAAGCAGATCAGTTTCCAGGAAACCGACAGCCCGACACCGGCACATGAGATTTGATTATAGTGGTGAAGTCTTCGTGCAGGACCATTCACACTTTTTGAAAGGACGAATACAGAGACCTGGTGCACCGAATGCCACAAGGTTCCCAAACGACCCTCCGCAGGTTTTGAATTCAGAGTTGTCCTTCTCCTAGACCAGTTGCCATCCAAGGTTATAGAACCCAGTCTGTCCTGCTATTTTACCCATAGCTGGAGGGAGAGGAAGAGGATTCATACCTTTCCCGAGGGTATTAGCACGTAAGTGAATGTAATGGATTCGACTGGAATTCGAACTCGGCTCTCCGATTCCTCATTCCGCTATCTATCACTCCACCGATAGCCCTTGTTCCCGTGTTCTCATTGCCGTTTGTGGTTACCGTATATACTCGAGTATCAGGCGACTTTGAAGACCTAATTTTGAAGCTAATTTTCAGGGGGTCACATCATACACGAGATATAAAATTAGCCTATGTACTGCTCGCCCTGGTTACGCCTTTGAACAAACTATATATTTACATTTACTGTCGTCAAAATGTTCAGCTGTTTTTAAACTAAACATGATTTTGATAAAACTGATGTTTTACTTAACTGTATACAATACTAATGAATGTAATATTCACATATAAATATCGTATTATAAAATACAAACATAGTGCATATGCATCTTATTTTCCATTGTTTACGTTTATAAGATGTTTAGCTGTTTCACGTTCGGTTGTTTATCGTTGTACGCATTTAACACAACGAGTATAGCGTTACTAACGATACTTTTATCATTCTCTTTTACTTTTTTTTTTAACTAGAAGATGGGATAAAGAGATAGAGGAAAAGAGGTTAGTCTATTGTAATTTGGTCTCTCAAAAGATAAACTCACATGATACACGAGATGCATGCTAAAATCATCATACTTATTATAAAACCCAGGTTGTGTGTGTGTGTGTGTTCGTTTATATATTGGATCGGATTTCCTACATTTTTCAACCGATTTCAACAAAACTTCACAGGACTACGTAAAAATTACCTTGCGGTGGTTCTGACAGCGCCAAAAATTAGAAAAAACACAATTGTTTTTGCACGAAATCAATTTGAAAACACGATTAAGAGACATCGCTGTCGCGAGAATGAAAGAGGGACAACTCATATCGAGTTACACTTATTATAAAACCCAGGTTTTGTGTGTGTGTGTGTGTGTGTGTGTGTGTGTGTGTGTGTGTGTGTGTGTGTGTGTGTGTGTGTGTTCGTTTATATATGGGATCGGATTTCCTACATTTTTCAACCGATTTCAACAAAACTTCACTTTTTTTTTGGCAGGTACTGTTTCTTATTGTATTGCACACTTTTTTCTTTATTTTTACATTCAGAATGCTTTAAAAATTCCATTTACAAGACAATTGTTTATAATAAAATTCTATTCAATCGGTAGACTCATAACTCTTACTGTTACAACCCCGGCAACGCCGGACTCTACTGCTAGTTTTTTATATGTGAAAATTTAGGGATACGCGAGATCGCACGTTACAGGAGTACATACGGTACTTATTTTTTATTTAATGCAAGCAAAAAAATTAACACCTTTCAATAAAATGGTAGAGGAGCTGCTGCCTGAGTGCATGGGGTTGGCAGTAACGAATCTATTATGAAACTAATGAAGATTGAGCTGGGCCCCTAATTCCAGGGGCGTCCCTGAAGCAACCTTTTTCCGATTCCTCAATCCGAGCCTCTATCCATTACTCAACCGTACCTCCTTATTTTACTAACAAACTATGGCCTCATTGAGAATCACCAGAATCTATTCATAGTTGGATCCTTAAATTTATTGTTGCTGTTTGCGAAGGAGCTACCATATCTGTTCAAGATTTAGGGTCCCAAAATATAGGTCATCCCTACTAGGGATAGGATCTGTTTTTTTTTTTTGTTTTTTGTTTAGCTAAGCGGATTATACTTTTTTTGATATTTAGAAGGACATCGCGATCTAGGCCGGTTGATATTAATTTCGCAGTTTAGAAAACAGAGTCAAGAACAAAGAGATACGAACTCAAACAATGGCACTCAGAATAATTAAATATTTGTAATAAGAAATAAAAAGAAGCCCTTAAGCTTCCTCGGATCTTTATCTGAGAATGTTTACTTGAATAATATTCTGAATCGATCAGATTCAAATAACGTCATTGAATAACACGCACACTATCAATGAGTTTATAGGAAGACATAGGCGGTGTTTATATATGAAGCTGTATGTAAACATACACCCTTGTGCAAATTAATTGAAACAACTGCTTTAGTTTTCTTTCTTTCATCATACAGTCAGTTTAAAACCCACTGGAGTGACAGGGTGTAATCGATTTCTGTTTTTCCTCAGATTAGATCATTTTCAGTGGTGTGAGGTAATATGAATCTATTTTCAGGGTGTATGATGACATTTGTTTGGCCTTGAAAAATATAGCATAATTCGTGATTGCATCAGATTTTTATCACGCCAGACACTATTGTCTCGACTGTCGATTAGTTGTCCTACCGCCATTGTCTACGATGGACGTTACTCCAAGGAAGCGTGCGAAAATTGTAACGCTGCTCGAACACACTGGCAAGCCTTACCAGTGAGTAAATCAAAGTACTATAGACTGGCTCAGAGATTTAAATCCAATCAAGTATCTGTGATCAATCTGCAATGAACGGCTTCGGGGAATTGGACACACGAAGTACCAACATGTGCACAGGGTCATGTGTCATTGGAAAAATACGAAATAATTGCTTTGTTTCAATTAATTTGTACAGAGGCGTAGGTTGTGTATATTTATAAGATTGTATTTCCGGTTCCTTCTCCTAAATTCTTCTCCCCCCCCCCCGGAGCACCTTGGAATGAAATGATTAAAAAAAATCAGTCAACACGTAGTCATGGGTCATGTTTATATTTGAGTCTATAGATAGACATAGGTCGTATATACAATCGTGCCGTAAGCATCCACCCGGTAAGTGACCTTTAGGCGTATTCTAGTTCCCCTTTGTCAAGACGATCAATTTTGGGATTTGTGATGCGACATGAGGTCTCCATTAATTTACTTATTTTTTGCTTTTGTTATTTTTTAATTATTTATTTTTATTTTTAAGAAGTCGCCATCACGGCTGATTTGGGAACACATAAAATAAATAAATAGAAGGGAGATAACTTCTGCAAAATGGATTAAAGGATTCCGATATCTGCATTTAAGGCGACTATGTTCGTCGAGTAAAAATTTATGCTGTCACTGCAGAAGACACTGTTTGGACTTTGCGATTTTTATTGTTATGTCCTTACCGAAGTAAATATTGTTTTGTAATATCGTAGAGGCTTAAAACAAAAGGTGGCTACAGAAAATGACTATGACTGTATAGCGGCGTTGGTCTTCGGGTTAAAATGAACAATCGATTTACACACGCCAAGAACGTTAATGGAGGTAGATAAGGACGAGAAAACACGCGGGTTATTTTTAACAAAAGAAGATAAGGAATTTATTTAAGAATTTACATACTTGAAATTGTGCCAGTAGCTCGTCTCAAGAAAATAAATCACAAATTTTTAAAGTCGATAAGAAACAGCAGGAATTGATCATATAATTGTTTCTACTAGACCGAAACGTCTGACGTTGACATTATATTAACATTAAAACAGCATAATTGCATATTAAGATTTTTGTTTGTTTTTTCCGTATATTTTTCTTCATATATATATATATATATATATATATATATATATATATATATATATATATAATGGTGTATAAAAAAATAAATAGATTAATTCTTTAGAAATTGCTTTGTTTACACTTCGGATACGAAACTGAGCGAATATGAACCTTCTAGAAAAATAACGGAGTGGTGAAGTTTGCTTTCCTAAAAAGCGAAAAATAGATTCTTGCTGTACTGTGTCACTCTGTATAGCTTAATGATAATCAACAAGTCAAGTGGTAATTTTCTCCTACAAAGACAACGTAGATTCGTTGCCTGCTGAGGAGCACAGGAACCCACGTCGATAGCAGTCACTTGGCGTTAAGAAGAAGAAGAAGAAGAAGAAGAAGTGAGGTGGGCCTAAGTGCCACGAGCATACTCCCAGAGAGAGAGAGAGAGAGAGAGAGAGAGAGAGGGAGAGGAAATAGCTAGGTATATTTATCCGGTCTCCACATTAAACCAGGATGTGATACAAGGTCGCTTTAAGCGCCATACACCCTGCCATACACCCATACACGCCTGCTGAGGAACACAGGAACCCACGTCGATAGCAGTCACTCGGCGTTAAGAAGAAGAAGAAGTGAGGGGTCCTAAGTGCCACCTACATACTCCCAGAGAGAGAGAGAGAGAGAGTGCGGGGAGAGAGAGAGAGAGAAGGGGGGAGAAAGAAGGGAAGAGAGAAAGAGCTAGATATATTTACGCGGCCTCCACATTAAACCAGGATGTGATACAAAATCGTTTTAAGCGCCATACACCCAGGGTTGGAATCCCCGGGACAGAACAAGTCCTCTCGTCTAAGATGAAGAGGAACCTTTACTCCACTTCCCGGCACAGATGATCGAGAAAGAAAGAGAGAGAAGGGGGAGAAGAAGAAAAAGTAGGGAAGAGAGCGGAGTGAAAGAGTGAGGTAGAGGGTGTGAGACAGATGCGAGAGAAAGGGAAGGGGGAGAGTAGGAGTGAGAAATATATCTTATAGAGACTCGATTAGTGAAAAAAAAAAAAAAAAAAGAAGCCAATGTATTGAAACTAGGGTTCGTGTTTTTTTTTCTCCCCGTTGCGAGGTATTCGCCTGGCACCACCCAAAGATTTAGGATGCGACAAAATGTCAGTTGTTTAACGTGGGGAACCCGAGCGTTTCCACCCTGACCAAGGTCAAAATTTACCCAGCCCCCGCCTAGGCGGGTTCGGGCATAAAACTGGTCTTAGCGCAACTTGGCCAAAAGGCCAAGTTGCGATATTTTACCTCCCGTTCCTTTGGCAATTTAACCAGTTTTCTCCATAGAGATCAGTGTTTTCCAACCATTTTTTCAACCAGTGCTCCCTTTGGGCATAAACTTTTCGTCAATGCCCCCCCCGCTGTCAAATTGAATTTCGAATATTATACTGAATTCATCTTTCATAACAAGATAACACTTAAGTATTAGTGCAAAAATAATTTTAATATTGTTTTCATTCCTATTATAAATGCCAATAATTAAACTGCTAAAAAAATTCTATTTGATAGCTTATCTCAATGTTTTCAGTGCCATGGTTGCCTTTGGTACTTACTGGCTAAAGCTCTTATTCTAGGTGCCATGCTGCTTGGAAGTAATTGTAGTTCTCATCGTTTTATAATTTGCAGGTTTTTTTGTTCAGTATGAAGCTGTGTAACAGCGTTGAAACCACATTCAGCCATATTGAAAGTTATAAAAGCAATGAAGAAAAGTTTGATAGCTTCCCGCAGAAATGTCCTTTTGTAGCCAAAATTCCTGGTATGATGTTTCGAAGAATGGCTTTAATTCAAAGTCGTTTTTTAAAGTAACTTCTCTTGCATCGCAGAGTCGGCTCCATTTTTTATAATCATCAATAAATGGGTTTAACAGCCAATCAGGTATTTCCATATGAATGAGGTCCTGGTAGCTACAGCTCATGTCCTCATGCAAATGGTCACAATAAATCAAGGTCATCATCTAATATTGTTGTGGAGTTATTTCGCAGTGGAGGATTGTATTTGTACTAAATCGGTCCTAAAACAGATCGACGTACAAAACGTTAGGGACTTGATATAATAGGTATTAGGCAGAGTCATTTTGTGGTGGTCGCTGACTACTTTCGTATTCGACTAACTGTCGACTACTGTCGTCTGACATCGACGCTATTTAGTAACTGTCCCACGCAGTCACATGTGGCACAAGACCGAATTTACTGTGGGGTTCCCGATCCCGTAGGCTCGGCCAAAAAAATCCCCGTTGACCCCCGCATAAACGGGATCGGGTCTGTCTACCTCCCCGGACGAAACTCTGCCCTTCGGCATAGCCTCGTCCGGGTTCCTCTCTGCCCGAAGGCAGAGAGTTCGACTGTCGTCCAACATCAACTAGTATTTAGTCACCCCCACGAAAGTATCATGTGGCACAAGGCCGGTTTAACGTGGGATCTCCGAGCCCGTGGGCTCGGCCAAAAATATACCCTTTGAACCCGTATAAACGGGTTCAGGGTCGGTTTACCTCCCCGAACGAGACTCCGCCCTTCGGCGTAGCCTCGTTCGGGTTCCTCCCCGCCCGAAGGCAGAGAGTTCAACCGTTCAGACAGTCGTCCGACATCGACTGACCGTGGTTTCTATTACTACTCCTACTTATATTAGGTGGGAGAGTCTATTAACTATAGAATAGGGGTGTTTCACCATAACAAATATAGAGATTTCAACCTCATGATTATAATTTGTTGAACAAGATTTGGAAATAACTTTTGAAAATTTAAAAAAATAAATGGATAAATGCTCCCCGCCCACCCTGAATATGTTCACCGCCCCGCTGAGTGTGTTCACCTCCCGATGAAATAAAAACTCCTAGTGTCCCTTTCAACATAACAGAGCTCACAAGGGGGTGCTAGCTCCCACGTTGGGAACCACTAGGAGATGAAAACGATTATTGAGCCATGGCGTGAAAGAGAAGCAGACCAATCAGTAAAACACTGAACAGTTCAGACGTATGACTACAAAACAGATAAGGGAGATAAAAGTGCCATATTCACAAAGCACGTAGTTTATAAACTTTGCAAGGATCAATCTCCTGTCTCGATAGAGTCCAAAAGCGTCTCCGCGTCTTTGTTGGCGATTATTTTCCACCCTGCAACCCCTTTCTTCACAGGCGAAATGTCGCAAGCCTCTCACTGCTCTATTGCTGCTTCTACAGAAAGTGCTCAGGCAAACTACATTCGTTAGTTCGGCCAGTTTTAACCTTTTAAAGACCAGCGGGTTTACGCACATTGTAGCGAAGCACCCATATTCCGGCCGTATTCCATTAGTGAGGAGTAAGTTCCATTTAAACAGCTTCTTTCCGCAAACCACTTATCTGTTGAGCCAAGTTCCAAGAGGATTTTTTCCCGATTATTTTAATCTGTTCAAGCCTAGTATTAACCGTTATCTTCCCCGATCAACCCTAACGCCCGGTCAACACTCCTCCCCCTTCTCTTGGACATGAGTAGAGGCTTACGCCTTGTTTCTTGTTTAGGAAGGGGTTCCTGGTACTCTCTCTCTTTCTCTCTCTCTCTCACTGGCCTCTGTATCTCCAGTTGCCTTGATCTATCCACTACTCTTCTCCTCATCCTTTCTTCTATCACTCCTATCTGATCTTGCTCCAACTTTTCTATAACCCCTTGCGTCCTAGTGGCTTTCCGCCTTGCTTGGGGTGAAACGCTTAAAAAAAAAATCCGCCTAAACTGGACCTCTTACTCTATAACTCTATAACTCGAGTGGCTCCCGGGCCTTGTACAGGGTGACCTAATTGCAAAAAAAATAAATAAAAATAAAAAGATAAAAAAATTAAACTAGTTTTCAGGACAAAGGAGTGGACGGTCGCATCAGTCTGACTGCTCATTTGCGCATAGACGTATTTACAGGCGTCGTATTTATAGTTCAATTTAATGATGACATTCGATAGAATTAGATTTGACATTAAGCAGACATTTTACTAAAAACAGTTGTATTTATGTCGAGTCATTATAGAGATGGGCTTGGATTTTCTTGAGCACTTTTAATAGGTGTCATATTACAATTACAAAGAGGGAGGAAAAAATGACTTTGTTTTATAGGATTCGGGAACGAAAGTGTAAAAACGCACACACTGATACGCACACGGTAGAACAGACACGTACACTCACGCATAGGTACACTCATTTTAGTATAGCGAATACGTGCGTAGATACACATAGGCACACAGATGTATGCAAACACACACACACATACATAAACCTGCGCATGCTTAGAACCTGTCAGAGGTGTGAAACTGAGAGTCACCGTGATTTCTGACTCTACTCTTCTCTCTCTCTCTCTCTCTCTCTCTCTCTCTATATATATATATATATATATATATATGTAACATTTTATTATAAGAGATTACTATAAAAACATTTTGAAATCGCTACACAAAAGCTTTCATGTTTCAATACTATGATTGTTCTTCTTCAGGCGATGGTAAGTAACTGGTGATTTAAATGATTTTTAAGGAAATTTAGAAACAAAATGTTACCTCATTTCCGAAAGTTAAAGTGGAGGACATAAGGTCAGAATTAAAAAAAAAATGACATGTGGTTATGTCTTGATTAACTAATTAAATTTATCGTAGGTCTGACATTTAATTGATTAATCACGACATACCCACAAATCTATTTTTAATTCTGACCTTATGTCTTCCACTTTATCAGATGTTAACATATTATCGACATGGATAAAAAAAAAAAAAAAAAACATATCTTTTATTTATTTTCTACCCATTCTGATCTTTAAACTCAGACACTCAAAAAAAAAAAAAAAAATTGAACATAAAATTTTAAAAGACTTTTTTAAAAAGTCATTAATTTTCTTTCTCATTTTAGTCACGAACAACGCCAGATTGAGAAAAATATATAAACTCATTATTTTGAATAAACACACAAATGCATTCACACAAGCAATTCACTTTTTCGTCTTCGATCTGATGAAACCCAAAATGGACGAAATGCATTATCGGATATTTTTTTCGAAACATTATACTTTCATGAACGTTTTTCCAATTGTCATTTAATGCATAACTCTGTTCGAATCATTTAACCAAATTATTTTTACATATACACATATACATACACATATACATACACATAGATATATATGGGAGGTACGGTGGAGGAATCGAAGAGACGAGTTCGAATTCCCGTCAAATCCGTTAGATTCGCTTACGTGCTTGGGAAAGTTATGAAATCTCTCCTTCTCCTAGCAGCCATAGGTAAATAGCAGGACAGACTGGGTTCTATAGCCTTGGATGGTCTAAGAGAAGAACACCGTTTAATTTCAAAACCTGCGAAGGGACGTATTTCGGGTCTTCAAAAACTGTGGTTGGTTCTGCACAAATCTTCACCACTGTAATCACATCATATGTGTCTAGTTGTCTGAGAACTGAGTTGCCTGATACTCACACGTAAAAGGGGCCCCGGTCAACAGTCTGCATTGATCAACGACAGGAGTGTCCACGATATATATATATATATTTGTGTATTTAGGTAGCAAATCCTCTTTTAGATATATCTGATTGAATAAAGTACTTTCGATCTCCTCTCAAGATCATCTTCAGGGGTGCAAGGGGTAGCAAACTATATGTTGTTCATTAGTACTTGGGAAATGAAAATAAAAGAAATTTAAACAGCTATAACACATTTTCTTATCCTTTAACATCAATACACGGAAGGTTATTCGTGAGTATGAACGGATTTTATTAAAAATTAGCAGACATAATGTAAGTAATTTATTCAATCAGATACATACATATATATATATATATATATATATATATATATATATATATATATATATATGCTAGCAGCATGGCCCGGCGTTGCCCGTGCTTGATTAAAAAATCGTACGACTCATACAGCAATCGCTATCACTTGACTTAAAATATTTTTGCCCTTCCTTGCCTTTAAAGGAGTGCCCTTTGCCGTGCTAATCTTGCTACATGCCTTACTTCTTGC